CAAGTGCTCTCATCATTCCATCTTTTTACAAGGAATGTAGTCAGTCAGCGTGCCAGTATTTGCAGGCTCCTCACCATGGAAGGATGCGACACTGGACACCCCAGATCTGCATTAGCAAGAGATGTGCAGTGAAAGTTATTGTATCTTCAGTACAAAACATGGAAAAAGTGGTCATTATGCCCGGTGCTTTTCCTTTTCTATAGCTGTTTTATTCTACTGTTCGCAAGCCTCACTTTTCTCATGCTTAGCTTTCAGCCATCACTCACCCTGCTGTATTGAGTGCTGCTTTGATTTTCTATCCTTCAGTCTGTTTTTTCTTTTTCTTCTCCCGCGGTACAGGCATTAACCAATTTAGAAAACTGCCTCACTCCAGCTCGTTTCTTCCCCAGTTCTCCTTGGGTTTTCCTTGCCTTCCTTTCTATGCGTTTCTCTCCCAGTTCTTGGTTCTCCTTTGCTGCCTTTGGCCCTTAGAGTGACCTGAAGATAGTCTGGGAGCTACTGTTCTGTGTAGGTGAGGCGGCTAATGTGCACTGAGGGGAGAGACAATGCAATAGTGCTGTTGGACGTTGGTGTGTTTGCTGCTGTGCAGGACACCTTAGGTGGCTGGGCCAGTGCTGGTCCATATGTGTAAGGGACTGGACTTGATGACCTCACCTCTTGAGGTTCCTTCCAGATCTAGTGTTCTACGTGACCATGTTCCTAGGGGCACTTGTAAAGCTGGGACGAAACACCAGAATAAGTAGAGTGGGCTAAAATACAAGGGCTGTCCTTCCAAAGCAAGATAACTGGTCATCGTACACAAGTTGTTGAAACAACCACAGTTGGAAAGTGCAGTTTTGGCCAGCCAGCAAAAATGCAAAAAGTTTCTGACTTTCAAATTCTTTTCCTTGTGCTAAAAAATTTAAAACCCGCACAGCAAAAAATTTCTTCAATATGATTCCTCTACAGTACAGTGAGAAAATTGGTCACTTGTTTTTTTTAAACATTTCATTTCCTAGATTACAAGTCCATCTTTCCTATCTCGGTCTTAGGTATTGTAGGGATGTAGTGAGCATTGTTGAGGGCTAGTTTATTAAGGGAGCTGTTTTTTAATTTTATACAAAGTACTCCAAATAGAATAGTGATAGAGATGCAGCCATGTTAGTCTGGTGTAGCTGACTAACATGGCTTTTTGTCTTTTGTTCCGAATAGAAGACTTCCATACATCCTATTTAGAGAAATATAATACCTGAAGTTTCTTACATATTAAATTTTAATTCTGTATGCAGAAGATAACCTTCATTTTAATTCTTTTTTTTATTTCAGATGGCAAATTGATGATGGTGTCATTTTACATTCTGTTGTGTAATTAACTTAGTTTTTATCTTGGTGCTATTTTTAATTAAGTGTTTGTTTTTCCTCTAAGTTTAATGTTATTGTCTATTGTTCAGATGGTCCATTGTATAAATAGCGGATATTAAAAACACAAAATCTGATCATAGTTAACGTCTCAAAACATTTGTTAATTTCAGTCCATGTTGCGATTCTGCTTTTCAATAAAAAGTATTCAATACATTGAAGACTGAAAACATGAGCTGCATTCATTTGTTGCCTGTTAAAACTATTTATGTATTTTTGGTCTTAAAAAATTGACCTACTAGATTGTAGACTCATGAAATATTTGACATACTTTTTGTCTGTGATAGTAACAGAGATTAAGGGATGGCCAGATGGTGTGTTGAGCTAGCAGATCAGAGAAAATGGTATACATGGTGCTTACAAAATGAAAAAAGTAGCACCATGAAATAAATGGTCAGATCACATAGTCTCTTGTAAGAAAAACATTACCATAGATGTGAGCTCCTGGGAATACCCTCTGTTTCAGGATGTAATCATAACCTTTGCATTTATTTTAGTGCAAATTTTTCTTGCTGACGGTTGGTTATATTTGAGATTGTATGCAGATTCCAGATATTTATTGACTTATTTATACTAAAATGGCATTGTTTTATTTATTTACTAAAAAACGTTCACTGTCCCATAGCTTCCTACTTATTGACACAGTTAGGGTGGTGTACCTTTGTACTTCTTATTGTGGTTCTTTTATTCCCTTCCCAACCTCCCACCTGTTATGTCAAAATTCAATGCCTCTTGTCCTAAATGTAGACTCCTGTTGTGCAATAAGCTGTGTATAGGTGGATCCTAGTGCAGCACCCTCTGGAGTCGGTCTGTGCAGTGTCTGAGATCAGCCTACATACACAGCCTCTGATTCTCAGAGACCATACTACCCGGTGTGTTTGTGTAAGGTCCAGCATATTGTGACTCCACTAATGACTTACTAGGATCTTTGAGCAACAGTGTAGTAATGTAAATAATTACACACACACACACAATTCACCAAAGGAACTTTATTAATATTTCAAAGTCAAGCACTCAAAGGTTAGGAGACGACAGAATTAAGGTTGTCTGTGCAACCTTAATTTGGCCCTCTTATGCATATGTATGATAATAATCTTTAATTACACAATCACATGCTGTTTTAGCCACAGCTGGCCCTGCCTTTCCCTTTAGCTTTCTCCTCTGATCTCAGTCTCCCTTATCAGTCTCTACTGTTACCCATGTCCCTGTTTCCATTCCCAGGTCTCAGTAGAAATCTCCTTGTTGTCTTTCCTTCTCACAACACCCTCAAGCCACAGGCTGCCTCCTTGCTCCAGTCTGCTCCTCCCACTCACTCCAGCTCTTGTTCCCTCCCTCTGGAGGCAGCTTCCTCCTGTGTGCTTCCTGGGTGTCATCTGGGGAGGGAGGTGGGATGTGTCACCGAGGCACATTCCTAACCAAAAAAGCCGTCCTGTGTGGAATTTCAACACACAGCTCAGACCGTGGGCATGCTTGATCTTTCCAAACTCAGGGTTGTCAGAATTTTGCAGCATGGGCTCTAAACTTGTTTTCAACCAGCCATTTCCTTGAAAATGGCAAACCATTCTCTGATTTTTAAATTGTTTTTTAAGAGCCCAAGGGACACTCAGCATGAAAAATTTCAGACCAAGTAATTAGCTTTTGGTAAGATGTTATACGTAGTGGACACCAGGGTCTTACGATGAGAAATGTTAAGCAACCTCAATAATAAGGGGTGCTGCCAGCTCTTTCCAATGGAATTATTGGGAATTATTCAGAGTAGGAAAAGGCCAAGGGGTGATTTAAATGATTACCAAAAATTCAGACTTGTCACGGAGACTGATTTAATATTTTCATTTGTGTCACTCTAGTTTGCAGTTTTGAATACTGAATGATTATGGTTAGAAAATAAAAGGGAAAACGATGGAGATTTTTAAATGGATAGATCTGATTTTCAAATTTCCTGAAGCCATAGGAGCTGCTGGGTGCTCTGTGTGTTTGAAAATTAGCCCACCTATTTGGTTACCTATAATGACCTTCAAAGTCTAACATAAGGCCGTGTTCTTGAAAGTCTCTGCTAAGATTTATCAAGCTGAGCATAGGAACAGTTAGCCAGGCTTTGTTGTAGTGCGTCCTTTCACGATACAGTTATCTCGCTGCCACTACCCAAGATCCACAAACCTGGAAATCCTGGACATCCCATCATTTCAGGCATTGGCACTCTCACTGCAGGACTGTCTGGATATGTGGACTCTATTCAGACCCTACGCTACCAGCACTCCCAGCTATCTCCGAGATGCCACTGATTTCCTGAGAAAACTACAATGTATTGGTGATCTTCAAGAAAACACCATCCTAGCCACCAAGGATGTAGAAGCTCTCTACACCAACATCCCACACATAGATGGAATACAAGCTGTCAGGGACAGTATCCCTGATGATGCCACAGCACTACTGGTGGCTGAGCTCTGTGACTTTATCCTCACAGACAGCTATTTCAGATTCAGTGACAGTATATATCTCCAAATCAGTGGCACCGCTATGGGCACCTGCATGGCCCCACAATATGCCAACATTTTTATGGCAGACCTGGAACAACGCTTCCTCAGCTCTTGTCCACTAACACCCCTTCTCTACCTATGCTACACTGATGACATCTTCATCATCTGGACCCATGGGAAGGAGGCTTTG